CAGCATAATCCCTAACTACATTCCAAATTTTTGACCTCATACTTCTCTTTGCAACTTACGAAGACCATTATAGAACACCATAACCAATCTAAATGCAGAGTTGTGGACCCTAGTCCCAATGAATACATCTACAAAACACTCCCATACCAGGGAATATTCTGGAAGTGGAGATGCAAAGTTTGTAAGAGCCAGAGGATGAGGGAATTTTCTGAGATTGTGTCTCCTAGTAATTCTAGAAGCTACCCCCATAAAGTCTTCCCAGTGTGACTGCCCAAATATAAGCTCAACAAGGACAACAGCAATAATCATGCTAACTCAGATAGGTGAACAACCACAAGGCCTCAACCCTACACTTTTCCCCCAGGATACTCTTGAGGAGTAAGGAATAAGAAATTTCAATACAAATATAGAGGGGAGAGAAAAAGACAGAAACACAGGATAGCCTCGGGAGGGCCTGGATCCTTATACACCAGCTCAGAACTTAATTCAAAAGGGATTTTTATAACAATGCCAAGGGGTGAAGCAAAAGACCTCCCCCTTGCTAGATACAACCAAGTATAGACCCTTCCAAACACCTGGTACTCAGGCCCATGGTCCAATCATCCTCTTATGCAGTCCTTTTGGGTAAAGCAAGCTCAGATTTCACTAGGAAATCTCTGTGGGCTCCCCCCACACACAACAACAACTAACTAAAAAAAGCAGCAAAAAAGCAGCCATGAATTTGAAAGAGCAATGAGGGGTATACGGGAGGGTTTGGAGGGAAGAAGGAAATTATATAACTATATTAGAAGCTCAAAAAAATAAAAGAAGTAACTTTTGAAGAGCCAGGATCAGGTAAGATGGAGCACACCTTTAATCCCAGCACTTATGAGGCAGAGGCAATAGGATCTTTGTGTGCTCAAAGCCAGCCTAGTCTACATAATGAGTTCCAGGCCAGCAATGGCTACATAGTGAGACCCTGTCTTAAAAAAAAAAAAAAAAATCTACACATCTAAACAAGTATCACTCCCTCAATTCTTGCTACCCAAGGAACAGTGGTTAGACACAAAAATCTTCTCAGATCTGCTGAAAAGAAAGTTCTTTGCAGTGAACAAACAACCTTGTGACCCTCAGTTTCTTCTCTGTCAGTAATAAAAGTTGAATGTAACCCTTTCTCTGTCATTCTTCATCTGATATTGCTTTCAATGGGCCACACTCTGACCCGCCCAGAGAGAAATACTCTCAAATACAAGGTGTCTCCCCACCTAACACGGTCTCTTGACCTCAAGGAATTTACATAATTTCACATTTGTCCTAGAAGCTTATGTATGTGCACTTCTGGCCACCTGCATGACCAACGCCACCTGGATGAGATTACCGTGACTCCACCTGGAGTTACAACGTACCATGCCCCCAACCCCATCTCCAAGCTTTCCCCGCTGCTTCTGGAGACATTTCCCGGAAATGCACGCACACACATGTTCAGGTCAAACATCTTCGATGGAACATCTTTGCATACATAGGGCCACAGCTGGAAAGATGTCCCTAGAGAACAATGTTGGGTGCCATCAGACAGGGACATAATGGTAAGGACTAGCCATTTGGGATTCCAGGAAGGACTCTTGCATACATAGAGCATTCCCTGGTGTGCCACTTGGCAATCCCAAGAGTAACCTCAGTGTAGACTAGAACCCAGGACATTGATGTGTAAATGCAGGCCAGACTCAAATGATCCTCTAAAACTCCTTTGAACCTTGGGTCAATGAGAATAGTATAATATTATATGTCTAGAAATTTAATAACCTACTCTTCACACTGGATCCCCTTGCTCAGCCTTGATACAAGGGGAGGTGCTTAGTCTTACTACAACCGGATATGCTAGGCTTTGTTGATACCCAGGGGAGGCCTGCCCTTTTCTGAACAGAAACAAAAGAGCAGTGGATTGGGGCAGGCGTGGGGACAGATGGGGTAGGGGATGAAATGGGAGGAGAGGAGGAAGGAGAAAATGTGGTCAGGATGTAAAATAAATAAATAAAAATTAAACTGAATAACTTCTTAGTCCTCTACTTCTGGCATCACTTTGTCAGGGAAGGATGAAGCCCATGGTGAACCCCATGAAGCCTACAACATTAGCAGTATTTCCGCCTTCCCCCCTTGAGTGAGTGGGCTGCTCCTGCACACCACGGACACTTGCCAGGCAGCCTCCAAACGCTCTTGAGGGAACGCTCCCTACACTTGTGTCTCTCATCAAATCAGACAGGTACATATACAACTGCTTTTAACTAAATTATATATACAAATAAAGCAAAACAAAGTAAAACAAACACTATACTAATTATGTCTTAGAAACATATTTCTGCACCCAATATGCCAAGTTATAATTCATTCTGTTGGCTTCTAGTCTATTTGGCTTAAAAGCTCCTTTGATTGATGGCAGATACGTGAACTAATTCATTATATATTCATTTGTTCATTCTGTCACTCTTCACTAACTGTCCACAGATTGTCTGACATGAATGGGGCCCATTTGATAGATTCACAAAGGATCCGTGCTACTCATGATCTGCCCTGATCCACCAACCTGCAATGGAACCTTATAGTGAGCATGTGCTTTTTTATTTTTAACTCTTTAAGTCAACTGACTCACTAGGATTTTTTTAAAGGAGGGGCTGCAGACATTTAGCTTAAAATGAAAAAATAATTTTAAAAAATAAAATAAAATGGCTCAGCCAGTACAGAGGCATGTGAGTGCAAGCCTGATGACCTGAGTTCAATCCCTGGATCCCACAAGGTGGCAGGAGAGAACAGATTCTCCAGAGTTCTCCTCTGACCTCCACACATGCACCCTGGTCACAGGTACTTTCACCAACACAGACACAGCACACATGAACACTCACACACACACACACACAAAGTAATTAAATTAAAATATAAGATATATTAACATTGTGTTAGAGAGGTGAGGTACTTTTAAAATATCTTTGCAGACTCCTTCTTTCAGAGACAAGTACTGACCTGAATTTTCCTCTACAACCTGATGCAATCTTGGCTTGCATGACTGGCTAACCAACGCAGTATGGCAGAAACATCACTCTGGACCCGGAAGGCTGTGTCATAGAGAGCAAAGTGAGTTCTAGCTGATCCCTAGAGCACAAATGGATACTAATCCCATTTAGTAATTCCAGCAGCCAAAGCCACTGTGCTGTGAGGGGCCCAAGCTGGCCTATATAGGAAGTCAAAGTGAGAGGCTGCCTGAGGAGAGCCCCCACCCTTCAGCTCCCCACTGTTCTAGCTCCAGCTTTTGTCTACGAGGGCCCTGGGCAGTTTTACCTGAGTCATCCTGGACCTCGACCTTCACACCCCAACACTGCGTATAAGGTGGTTGTTGTCAGAAGTCATTAAGTTGGGAGTGGCTCTTACAGTTTGGGAGTGGTTGTTCCAGGAAGTCTGTAACAGAGAGCAGGAGAGGGGGCAGGGCTAACTAGGACTCTTTCTTGTGATCATCAGGATTGATCCAGAAAGTGTTTTCTCTTAACTGCAACAAAATCTGCCACTTTTCTAATATTTCACCAATTCTTTTCTGAGTAATGTTTTTGCTCCTTGGGTGACACAGGGCCTCTATTTGTTCTGGAATCTAAGAAAATTATTCACAGCAGGGAGAGACTCTGCTAAGGTCTGAATGCCTCTGTCATCCCCAAATTCATATGCTGAAACTCCATCCCTGAGATGGCACTAAGAAGAGGTAGGGCCTTCAGAAAGTGAGGTCATGGGGGGGAGGGGACCTCAGACCACAGAGTTAATGCCCCAGAGTTGTTGCCCTGATCTTGGACTTCTAGCATCCAGAATTGGGAGCCAAATATTTCTGTTTCTTTATAAGCCACTCAATTCTGAGTCTGGAAGGTTATTGTAGCAATAAATTGGGCTCAGGCAGGCTCCAACTTGCTTGCATTTTAAGAAGGGACAGGTTGGGAGGGGGAAGCAGTAACTGCAACCCTGGCCTGTGAGTCTCTAAGGGACCAAACAGAGAGCCTGGAGTGCTTTGTCCTCCACAGAACAGCTGCACTGCAGGCGTCCAGATCAATGCTCTCTAATCACCAGTCACCGCCCAACCTGCATGGCCAACCTTCAGTCTCTTTCCCTCAAAGGAACACTCTGCTCTGCCTCTCCTTTTCAAAGACAGAGTGATGACTGACAAATGACTGTTAAGGTGTCTGGGCAGCAGCAACCATGAGTTACTATCATCGTAGTTCCATTTAGCTGGAGACAATTCCATCTCACTGTGTGACTTGCCTGTGGTGTGCCTCCCGACAAATGAATCAGCTGAGGGCCATCATTCTTAGGAAACCTCACGTGCTTCAGAAATGGGAACTTCTTGGTAAAGAAACACAAGTGGATAAACAGTATCCTGAAAAATACCAATAACAATCAAGAAGACCAATGGGGAGAGCTGTGGGCTTGGTCTCTTTAAAGAATGAGGTGTGGGGAGACTTGTCTTCTAAACCTGCAATGTTCTAGAAGCAGACCAACTTGCACTGATAAACAAACGAGCCCACTGAGCAGTTGGACAGGAAAGGTACTAATTTGGCATTGCAATTGTTAGTGGTTGGGCTGGAGAGTGAAGAGAAAGGTCCATGCTGCAGAAACTCAAAGCGGATTCATATCTAAGTGAAGTTACTGGATGTCCAGCCTAACTTAAGCACAGGGACAAAGGCTGAGAAGCACAGGTGGAGTCAGCTGCTCAGCCCTGCCCTGGCACCAAGCCTGTGCCCCTCTTCTCCAGAGCCAGGGTTTTCATGCTATGTTATATAACTTACTAATTGGGCTTCCCACTGCAGGAGCCTGCAACAGCCTGTAACAATAGCTAAGGAAAGGGGATACAGAAATGTAACCTCCAAGTGGGGGAAGGATTTTCAGGGAAAATAAAAAGCAAAGTTGGTGAAGGTGAACTGAAGCAACACAGCTAAGAAACCAGTTCTGACTACAAGACATTATAAAATACAGATGGTTCCTCACATGTGATAGTTCAACACACAATTTTTCTACTCTTATGTGATATAACAACACACCCATACAACCATTCTTCTCACTTTCAGTCCAACAATCAATTGCTTAAGATAGTCACACTTCATTATGACAGAAGCTCTGTGTCACATGATTCTGCCCAGTTATTGGCTAGCAAAAGTGTTCTGAGAATGTTTGAACAGACAAAATGAAGCCAAGACATACATTTGGCTAAGCATACTAAACATATTTTCTTTTCAAGGTAAGATATTTTCATTTCCCAAAGGGTTTATTGGGATGGAACCTCATCATAAATCTAGGAGCACAAGTTACTAAGAAACATGGAAAGGAAACAGGAGTGTAAGATAGAAGAGAGGAAATGCCATGTGATAGAACATAGATTAATATAAATGGGTTAATTAAAGTTATAAGTACTAGTTAGGAACAAGCCTAAGCTGTAGGCTGAGCTTTCACAATAAGAAGTCTCCTTGTCATTATTTGGGAGCTGGCTGGTGGGACAGAAAAGGACTCATTACATATGGTGCCCAATGTGAGTCATAGCCACACAGATGGAGAAGAGTTAAGCCAGCTAGCCTTTTGGAGATCTGCTCACAGGACTCTGAAAAGCAGACTTACACTTGGAAATCATGGGAGGGGTTCAAGCCCACCACTGATGGCGCTGTTGCTGTGAACAAACTGAGAAGTCAGCAAATTTGGTAAAACACTTTAGAAGTCCTTAAGAATAGAGTAAAATAATATTACAAAGAAAAATCTATGTTAAGAATCAGAAATATTATAATACAGGAAGTTAGGACTCTGTATAGTGCTTCTATAGATGGATTGAAAATGGGGGAAAAAATGAGTAAGGGATAAGCCACTTAGCTGGGATTGACATACTGCCAATTGTAATTATCAGTTTTGGTAATTCATATTTTATCCTTAAAAACATGGTTTGATAATTGCACCAAATATGAAAATTTGATAAGATACAAGCTTTAGAAAGACTTACTATTGATAAGATACAAGCTTTAGGAAGACTTACAATTGATAAGCCTTAGAAAGACTTACTAATGAAAATAATAAAAAATTTGGTTGATAAAAGTCTTACAAGTACTAATATTGATATGCTGCCCAATGCCCAACAAGCTTTAGAAAGACTTACTACTAATAATATATAAGCCTGAGAAAGACCTACTAATGAAAATAATAAAAATGCTTAGACACAGACAGAGAAATTTAGAGCAGAACCTATCTCAGCACTGCATTATGAAACTGAAGAGGAGTGGCCTAAGATAATTAGAAAATCAACCTTACCTTATCCAGTTACCATACAAGAATGACCATCAGATGATAGTCTCCCCAAAGACTATGCAGAAGTTAACTGGGGTCCTGTAGAAATGTTAGATTTGATGAGATTTAAGGAAGCAGTCATTCCATGTGGTATGCATTCACCCTTTATGAAGCAGATGTTAAATTCATGGGCTACTTGGAACAGAATTATTCCACAAGACTGGAAAGATTTAACTACAGCAATATCGGAGGCTGGCCCTCAGTTACAATAGAAAACATGGTGGAGAGAGGAAGCTAGGGTCATAGAAAAATGAAGTAGGGCTAGAGGTATTGAAATTTTCTAAGATTAGCTTCTCAGTGAAGGCCAGTATGCTGATTTGCAAAAACATCTACATTTAGTGATCACACCTTGACTCTATGCTATATAGCAGCTTTTAATACCTGAGATAGAGTTGAAGAATCCGGAAAGAGTACTCAGTCATTTACTAAAATAATGCAAGACTCAAAGAAGCCTTCGCTGATTTTTTTTTCAAAGATTGACTTCAGCTGTTAGCAGGATGATATTAGATCCAGAAGTTAGACAAATATTAATTGAATCTTGGGCTTTTGAAAATGCTAATTCAGAATACAAAGGTGGCTATTAGGCCTTTAAAGGGAAGATCAGCACCAACAGATTAATGGATCCAAAATACAGCTGACATTGGATCTCACACTTATGATGATACTTAGATAGGGGAAGTGATTTCTAAAAATTTCAAGAAAAATCAAAATGTCAGATGTTAGCTGGGTGGTGGTGGTGGTGGTGGTGGCGGCGGCGGCGGCGGCGGCGGCGGCGGCGGCGCACGCCTTTAACCCCAGCACTCAGGAGGTAGATGCCAGTGGATCTCTGTGAGTTTGAGGCCAGCCTGGTCTCCAAAGTGAGTTCCAGGAAAGGCACAAAGCTACACAGAGAAACCCTGTCTTGAAAAGAAAAAAAAAAGTCAGATATTTTAATTGTGGTAAACAAGATCATCTAAAAAGGGATTGTAGGCAAGATGTTCCTAGAAACGTTCCTAGAAACAACATTTTTTTTCCTAAGGATCATCCAAACAGAAGGCCTCAGCTTTCTGGAGTATGCAGATGGTGTGTCAAAGGCCAAAATTGGACTAATGAATGTAGATCAACAAGGGACTGGGAAATGCCCTGTGGGACCTCATGCAGGCTCCAATATCAAATTTGGTTCAATCATTCTCTGTCAGCATCAGAGAAACTCATCCACAGAGCAATTAAAAGACTTAATACATGTTGTTAGAAACCACACTGCTCTGGATATGATTAAGGACAGAGCAGCTTCAATAAATACAACAAAAAGGTCAGGAGAGACTGGAAAACAATTATTTTGGCAAATTTCTATAAATCATCAGAGACCAAAACTAAACATACAAATAAAGAGCATTGAAATTGAGGGTATTGTAGATACAGGTGCAGATGAAACAATAATTTCACCAAAATCTTGGAATCCAGATTGGCCTCTTCAGGAAATAATGTTCAGCTTCTAGGGAACTTCATTTCAGGTAAAACAAAGTGCAAAGGGTTGACTGTATAGGGACAGAAGAACAGACAGGAAAATTAAATCCATATGTGGCTAATGTAGGAATGAATTTACAGGGATATCATTTGTTGCAGCAATGGAAAACACAGATTAATTCCTCCAATCTCATAAACAAACCATAAAATAAAAAATACTTCTGAGAGAAATATTAAAAGGCATATATCAAAAACATCACAGACAGTTCAGGTTGTATATAAGCACAGCACAACAGATGTTGGTCTTTCAAAAGTACCAATATCCCTACCTTTAAAATAGTTAACTGACAAATCTGTCTGGGTGGAACAATGACCTTTGACATCAGAAAAATTGCGGGCATTAGAACAGCTGGTATAGGAGCAGCTAAATGCTCAACATAATGAATAATCAACTAGTCCTTAGAATTCTCCTATATTGGTCATTAAAAAGAAATCTGGAAAATGGAGGATTTTAACAGATTTAAGAGCCATAAATAAATCAGCCAATGGACTCTTTACAGCCTTCTTTATTAGCTAATGGATGATCTATTATAGTGATTGATTTAAAAGACTAGTTTTTTTTAACTATACCTTTACAAGAACAGGATAGAGAAAAATTTGCCTTCATGGTGTCTACTTATAATTTCCAGCCCGTTAAAAGGTACCATTGGAAAGTTCTCACCCTGTACTAATATTTTGTACAATAGCCATTAGAACTAATTCATAAACAGTTCTCTCAGTTAATGATTTACCATTATATGGACAATATGTTACTAGCTGATTCAGATGCAAATACCTTGGAAAAAGTGTTTCAAGAAGTAAAGACAATTTTGCCTCATTGGGTATTACAAATTGCTCCTGAAAAAAAATACAAAGAGGAGACCCTATTAATTATTTAGGGTATAAGATAGGTTTACAGAAAATTTGACCACAAAAAGTACAAATCAAGAGATTCCAATTATGAACTTTTAATGGTTTTTCAAAAATTACTGGGAGATATTAACTGGCTTCAGCCCACAATTATTGGATTAACAGCTCAAGAACTAAGTAATTTATTTCAAACCTTATGAGGAAATAATCCAAGGAAACTGTCAGCTGAGGTTGAGAGAGAATTGACTCTGGCAGAAAAGAAATTACAGGATTCATATGTGGATTGCTTGGATCCAGAGCTTGATTATATTCTGTTATTTTACCTTCTGTTCAATCTCTTACAGGAATTCTTGTGCAGAGAGACTATAATATCTTAGAATGGATATTTTTACCACACAGAGTAAAAGTTAGAGATCTATGTAGAAAAGGTTTCTGAACTGATTCTGAAAGGAAGACTGAGACTTTTTCTATTAGCAGGACTAGACCCAGCAGAAATTGTGATACATTTTACTAGTGCTGAAACTGCCTCATTATGGGCAGAAAATGAACACCGACAAAGAACTTAACAGTAATTTTTGGGGGAGTGATTAGCAACAGATATCCCCAAAATGAGAGATTTCAGTTTATAAAAAGAACTAATTGAATTCTCCTTCATATAATAAAGGGAATGCCAATTTCCCCTACATTCTATACTGATACAAATAAATCAGAAAAGGTGGGTTATAGGTTAGGAAAATCAAGTAAAGTGGCTCAAAGCCCTGATGATTCAATTCAAAAATCAGAATTATATGCTATTTTCATGGTATTATTAGATTTTTTTTCCAGAACCTTCTAATATAGTTACTGATTCTCAATATGCAGAAAGTTGTTTTACATATTGAAACTGCTGAAATTATTCTAAGTGATTCCAAATTAACTTTGTTATTTACTCAACTACAACAAGTAATCAGAAATAGAAACCATCCCTTGTATATAACACATATCAGATCTCATATGGGTATACCAGGCCCTCTAGCACAAGGTAGTGATGAAATTGATCAGCTATTGGTAGGAAATGTGCTGGAAGACTCAGAATTTTAGAAGAAACACCATGTTATGGACAGGGGAGAAATGTTCCACCCATCAATGCCTGAGGCAGGTGGGAGAGCTGGCCCTAAGACCATAAGAGCAGGAGAGCTGCTGCTGTCCCCCAACAAGTGCACTTGGGAGAGCAGGCTCTGCACCTTGCCTGGGCAGCACAATAGAGCCAATCCTGTCGGTATAGGTAAGCCAGCCCCAAAGTTGTGAGCATGGAAGAGCTGCCCCAGAGATGCCCTCTCCCACCCCCTTCCATCAATGCCTGTGGCAAGTGAGAGAGCAGGCCATGAGGTCATAAGAGCAAGAGAGCTGTCCCTGCCCCCCTCATTAGCTGCAACCCTCTGGAGAGTGGCCCCATACCATGCCCACCAACACAGTAGAGCTGGCCCTGTAAGTGTGGGAGAGCCGACCCTGAGGGCATGAGAGCAGGAGGACTGGCCCTCCCCCTTACTCATTGCTGCAAGCGATGAACTAGCCATGGCAATGTAGGAAATCTCACCCTGGTAGTGAGGACAAGGGAGAGCTGGTGGGCTGATGAACCCTGCAACTACCCAGGCCCAGAACCAGGGTTATGAGTTGGCCCACCCCAATATCCACCCCATCTGTGATCTGCTGGAGCATGTGAAGGGACCAGTCTTTGGAGCTGTAGAATCTCCATGACACAGGGCAACAACAGGATATCCAAGAGGAGTCCCAGTGAGAACCCAGCATCAATAGTATCGCAGAAACCAGAGGCCTCGAACCAGACCAATGACTCTGCAATGAACACTTACAAGATATATGGATAAAAGGGTTTACTGTGACTCACTGTGCCACACTACAGCTCCCATGATGAGATTTGTTTTTCTTTTTTGTTTATTTTTTTCTTTTTTTTTTCTCTTAAATTTTATTTTATTTGGGGAGGGGGTTGCAAGGGCAGAGAGTGGATACAAAGGGACAGGGAAATGAATGGGATAGAAAAGAATGATGTGAAAGACACAAAGAATAAATAAAAAGTTTAAAAAAAAGAATCACCATGTTAAGAGCAAAGGTGTAAAGAAAGATTTTTCTATCACCTGCAACAAGCCAAGGAAATTATAAGGAAATGTCCTATTTGTTCTTTGTATAATCAAACTCCATTACCTGCAGCAAGTAACCCAAAGGGTACCCAAAGAAATGAAATTTGGCAAATGTATGTGTTTCATTTTGTAGATTTTGGAGAATTAAAATACATATACCATACCAAAGATACATCAGAATTTCAATGGGCAATTGCTTTGAATTCTAAAAAGGCTGATTCTGTAATTACACATTTATTAGAAGTCAAAGCCATCATGGGAATACCTGTACCAATTAAGAATGACAAGGCTCCAACATATGTCTCTAGTAAAATAAAACAATTTTTGTATATTACAACATAAAGCATATTACAGGTATACCACATAATCCTATGGGACAAGCAGTTACAGGAAGATCTAATCATGCTTGAAAAGATATGCCTAATAAACAGAAAGGGGGTAATAAAGGCCCCCCAACAATAGATTACACAGTGTTTTATTAACTTTAAATTGTATATGCTAATGAGAAAGGAACAATAGCTGGGGAGAGACATTGGATGATAGAAAAAACTGCTGATTGAAATCAGCCTGTACACTTTAAAGATGTGTTGACCTCAGAATGGAAAACAGGCTATGTGTTACATTGGAAAGATGTTTGCTTTTTTTTCCAAAGGAGAAGAAAAGCTATGGATACTATCAAGATTGATAATGATTAGAATTGAAGAGTAGAGACTTCTTGATTAAGAGAGGCAATAATTTATCAAGCAGCTTGGTCATTCAATCAAAACTAACTAGTAAGACTAATAAATACCTTTAATTTTATCAAGTATAAATTTTTTTTTAAATTATTAAGAGATAATACTTTTTCTTTTGCCAAAAAATGTGTCTTAGCAATGATACAACTTGCCAAAAAAGGAACTACCCAAAGTTAGGGTTGGGTTTTGTTTTTGTCTTTCCAGGAGAATGAAAGCATCTGAAGACCACTGGATAAATGAGACATCTGAAGAAGAAGGACAAACCAGGAAGAGAATAGGTCCCAAGAGAAAGAGTAAATTGGTCTAATGGCACAGCACAACTCCAACAGGATAAATTTTCATAAGTCCTCCCAAATATTTGTTTCTGCTGCTCTCTTCAAACATAAAAGGCAAATGGTATTTTTTGTGGTCCCAATTCTATTAAAAATCAAAGCTGGCTTTGGAGTTGGAGCATGGCTCTCTCCTCTAAACCCAAGCATGTTGTTAAAGGAAAATCCAAAATCTGTCTTATGTCAGAAAAGCCACCTGGTATGGAATAGAAAAAAAAAACACAAAATTAAGGGACTTTACCATTGTCACTAATCTCATAATCTTTTGGTTTTATTTTGACTCTTTAAAATTTTTCTTAAGGTATAAATATTAGCTCTAAACTTTTAAGTTACTATATATATATTTAAACCTTCTGTTTTGATATTAATGGTCATATAAAGTACTGATGCTAGAAATAGGCTTCATCTAACTCCCTGTATATGATTTTAGTCAGGCTTGAGTCTGAATCAGACAACTAGGAATTAAGTTTGTATACCCTGGATATATTTAACAGATTGTGGTCCTTTAACCTGTCCAAGTTCTGCTGCATGTGACATTTAAAATGTTTAAGTTTTCTGCAGTAAACCATAATTGTTCCTAACAATGACCTTTGAAGTCTCCAAAAAGATGATGGGGCCCCACAAAGATTCCACCCAGATCATGGTAATGGCACTAAGCTGGCAAATGCCACCAAAGATCAGCTTTGGACAACAAACTGCTCAGGACAACTTCAAAGCAGTTAGCTAAGGAGGTGCAGCCTCACAGACTACTCCAGTCAGGACTTCAGACAAGCCCTGCACTTTCCCATCACACAGAGACTGGACAACAAATGATATAGCTAGCTCTCCCTGGACTTTACCATTATCTCAAATTTTCAGAGTCCCTTAAAGATGCCATTGCCCCCAGGCAACAGGAAGTAATTTTAGCAACATGATGCCCACATTCTCAGGAGGTTGGGTGGTAGTTTTTGGTCATTTGGTGGCTTATAGATATTTGTCATTATTTAGGGGGGTTGGTTGCAAATTGTTATTGATTATGGTAAGAGAGGAAACTAAGAAAGGGAGGTTGGATTCAAGAATCTTTCTGAAAAGAAAAAGGGGGGTATAGAAATGATAGGATAAAAGGGTAGATTGTTGAATCTACTTTTAGACTAAAAAGCAATTACTAGTCTCAAATATTTTACATTAATATGAATTGTTGTATATTGATACAAATTTAATGTTATTTTGTTAAAACATAGTGTATATATGTTTCTACTCTTGTTTAAGGTATTTTTGTATATTGATTCAAATTTAATGTTATTTTTGTTACAACATACTACATATGTGTGTGTGTGTGTGTTTCTACTCTTACTTAAGGTATTATACCTTAAAGATATAAAGTTCTAGTCCTTGAAAGCTATTAATATAAACTGTTTAGGATAATTAAGAAATGGAGGTTAGGTGCTGGAGAGATGGATTAGAAGTGAAGAGCACTGTCCATTCTTTCAGAGGTCCTGATTTCAATTCCCAGTACCCACATGGTGGCTCACAACCATCTATAATGAGATCTGGTGTCTTCTTCTGGAGTGCAGGCATGCATGCAGAAAGAATACTGTATACATAACAAGTAAATATTTAAAAAAAAATAAATGCATGTTAGTAGTTAGTCATCAATAACAATCAAACTTGTAGTCATGTTAAGTATGTTTTCCAGATCATACAGAGATATATTTTAGATAGATTATCTTCAAACACTTCAGAGACCTACAGAATTTGGAATTTAAGATGTTTTAATAACATAAGACTTTTCATGACAGTGAGATGTGTCTGCCCCTGGAAGCACTAATCTACTTCAAAAAAGGATGATGGGCATCAAAGAACCTCTATATGGAGTTTGCTTTTATTATGACAAAGTTAGCTACTGGGCCAGAAACTGCCCTTGCCTCAACTGCTAACAGTATGATGTCCAAATTAGACAAGCAGGACACAAAAGAAATTGACTGTCAAGCTTTGCCAAGACAAGGTAGGATAGTCCTTCAAAATTCCTGCTTTACAGAAAAGTCTGTCAGATATTCTAGGTCTGCAGAGGAACCATGGGTGACTGTCCAGGCAGCCAGCTGTTTTTGTCATTTCTATAGTTTTGGAAGTTGCTTGCAATGCACTTCATGTTTACTCAGGTAATATTATATCCTTCTCAGGTCTTTGATGGGGTTGAAGACTAGTTATAGTTTTACAGTTCTCCTTGTTATCAAATTTAGAAAAGAAACTTACACAAAATATGTAAAGTTTATAAGGTTAGGATACATAAACACATAAGTTGTTTATCTAAGAAGATGTTTTAAGGTCTAAAAAGATATTTTTAGGGTGGTAATACAAGTTATGATAGAAAATGGTTTAGGTATAAAATTTTGGACTCACTAAGATAGGATAGATAATATAATACTTTCTCTGAAATTTGCCAAATACAAATGGACTGGATATTGTGAATATAATTCTTACCTGATAATTGTTCTTATTGTATATAGTTTTACTATGTTATAGTTAAAACCTTTCCTTTTTACTTAGACAAAAAGAGAGAAATGTTATGGGATATTTGTACACTGTGTGAAGATGTATTGCTGTGATTGGTGTAATAAAAAGCTGGACAGTCAATAGCTAGGCAGGAGGTATAGGTGGCATTTCCAGGGAGAGAAAGGAAGAGGAGGAGAATCTAGGCACACAAGAGATGCCAGTAGATATGGAGAGGAAACAGGAGGTGCAAGATGGAAGAGAGGTAACACTGAGTGACAGAATGCAGATTAATATAAATGGGTTAAATTAAGTTATAAGAGCTAGCTAGGAGGCCGGGCGTGGTGGCGCA